CCTCTTTTCCTCTCTCTTTCTGTGTCTTGTCCGTCTTTTCCTCTCTCCTCTGTCTTCCCACCCTGTCCTCCGGATTCCTGCTACCCCTTCTAAAGATACTACGCGGACTTCCTGTACCCCCCGGAGCTGAGCGCTCGTTTAAGTGACCTGACGCTAGAGGGGGAGCAGTCCTCCGATTCTGACCCCCAGACCCCGGGGACACTGGTCTGACCCCTTCTCATATGCCCCTTGTTGGCCTGGGAATGACTTCAGTCTGGGGAGCACACAGCTGACCTCGCTGAGCCCTGGGGTGTGGCTGCTCTCGGTCCTGGGGGGCACCAATGTGATCTTCCAAGGCCCCTGGCTCCCCGTGGGCCCACGAAGGTGTCTGACACCCTGTGTCTCCTCTCACACTGTGCTGGGGACTGGGGGCCCTCCGCCAGCTTAAAAGAGAGGAGAGGGGATGATGTAATGGGAACTCCAAGCCCCCTCCTCCATTTCTGTTTACAGTTGTGATCTAGGTATTCACTGTCTTCCCTCAACACTAGACGTTTTATAAAAAAGGAAACTGTGATCTCGTCCTGGTTGGGTTCATTCCTGTCCCCATGACCAGCCTGTTCCATTCAGAAGCCCCCTCCACAAAACAAACCATATAGGGTCTCAGGGCCCACTTTGGGGCAGCCAGGAGACTCTGGTGTGAACAGAACTCCCTGCCACCCCCCACTGGGGCAGTTTTTCTTGGGGAGGTGCCCACATTTGGAAGGAATGAAGTCTCTGCCCACATTTGGAAGGAATGAAGTCTGGGTGGGGGGCTTGTGTTCATTTTCTCTCCCCCAGGGTGCCTGAAGGCGCCCCAGTCCCTGTCTGCCTGTCTGTGCCCGCTGCCTCTGCCCACAGAGTGAGACGACCCAGCCTTTGGCGGCAGCCTCCTCTGCCCCGACTATCCCCAATCAGGAGGCCCCGCAGGAGGACCAAAGGGCAGAACCACTGGGTGTGTTGTGTCCTGGGATGTAGCGGTGGTGGAACCTGGCGTCTGGTAGATGCCAATGAAATCCTCAAGTGACGTCTCGCCACGGGTTATGTCACACCTTCCTTGGCTTTCCTTCCATCCACCACTTTTTAAACAAATCCACACAAGCTGTGTTTTCTATGATACCTGTCTGTGGCTTTCTGGAGCTGGGGGTTCCCCTACCCCCTTTACCTAGTGTTAAACTTTTCTTTTTGTACTAATGGATCTGGGCCCAAGACACTACCCACACTGGAAGGGGATTTCTGTAATAAATGTGTAAACTGAACCCATGCATTGCTTCCCTGTCTGCCTTGCCTTGGGGGCCCACATCTTTAGCTAAGACTAGGTAATGTATTTTTACAAGAAAAAAATATATAGCATCATGGAAACAGCCTGTGATAATGTCATCTGCTTTGGTTTTACTTGCTTTGTGATGTGGGGCAACTTCTTTGCCTGTCCGTGCTCAGATTCCTAGCCAAGAGCTCTTAGTAATACAAATGCGGGCAGCAAACACTCCGTGCCCTTAACTCCCTTGTGTGTTAATGCCACCCTAGAGGTAATAGGTTCAAGAAAGGAACTGAGAGCTCCTCCTTCAGCCCACATATTTGACAGGGACCCAGTCAGAAAGTCTCTGGTAGAATTGAAAAGCAGGTCACTTCTGGCCATTGAAACACACAGACTTTACCCAGGAGGTCCAAATGGGCTTGAGCAATGCAACAGCCTTTATTGTTGTAGCAACACTGATATATATGCCCCATTCCTGGTCAGGGCTACCCCCACCCCACCCCACCCCATCCCACCCCTTGGTCCTTGTCACTGTGGAACTTTGTGGGGGGTGGGCTGGGGAGTGGCAGAATCCCTAAGCAGAGCTGGAGGGAGGCAAGTGGGACTGGTGAGTGTTGGGGTCACCTGGGACCAAGAGTTCAACTGGGTCAGGATACCTGAATCCTCCACCCAGATGGGGGCTGAGAACACTTGGATCCTGAGTTCAAAGCTGGGGTGGGGTCTGGAAAAGCCTTGGTCCAGGGTTCAAGATCTGAGAATGCCTTGGTCCCAGTCCCCAGCTTTGGGGCTGAGTGTGGGAGATAGGTGGGTCCCAGATTGGGGTTGAGGGGGAGTGTCTCTGGGCCCAGAGTTTGAGGTTGGCCACGGATGCTCTGGTCTCTAAGCCCCAGTTTTGGGCTGGACGTGGGTGTCTCTGGTTCCCAAGTTCAGGGCTGGGAAGACTCTGGTTTCCTAAACTGGGGGGCTGGGTATGAGGGAATATCCCAGTTTGGGACCTGGGGGAAGGGTTGCAGTTGTCCTGTTTTTTGAACTGGGCAGGGGCTCCTATTTTAAGGACTGGGAAAGGGCTCTGGGTCTGGGCCAGGGTGGGGATGGCATTCTCCATGTCCTAGGTACAGATCCCAGGGCCCTAGGATCCAGCCTCCTGTTCTTGTCCCAGCGCCTCCAGCAGCAACCCCATTGGCGTCCGCTTGAGACCAATGCTCTCGATCTGGTTCTCAATCTTGTTCTTGAGGTTGCGCAGGCGCAGTGACGCGTGCACCAGGATCACTGTGGGCAATACCGAGAGGAGCGGGGTCAGTGGGATGGGACATCAGCCTTTAGCTAATGGGGGCCCAGAGAAGGGAACTGGAGCACAGGCAGACCAATGGCGTGGTCGGTAGCCAGGACGCCTCTGAACCCTGCTAGTGTGGCGGAGTAATGAGCTTCGCAACAGGGGCGTGGCCAGGGAGGGTGCGCAGTAATGGGGACGTGGCCGGTGGAAGGCACTTCATACTAGCAGTGACGCCCAGAAGGGCGGTTGTAAGAGAGGCGTTCCCAGGGAGGGGAGCAAAGCCAGGGAAGGCGCTTTGTAAAGGAGGTGTGGCCTTGCCCGCTGGGTGTCCCAGCCCCCTCTCAGCCCAGGAACCAGGGTAGGGCGGGCCTGGCGCCGTTTGCGAGCGGTGGCCGTCTTCCCGGCCATCTCAGGGTAGTGGAGACTCACGAAGCACGGGCCCGGCGATGCTGAGCAGGAAGGTGCAAGCGCCGCCCGCGGCCCAGAGAACGAGGAGGCCGACGGCAAGCACTGCGGCCAGGCAGGCGGCTGGGTGGCTGCGACGGCAGCGGCGCACGGCTGCTCGAGTCTCAGCCGCCCACACCAGCATGCCAAGGGCCACCGCCACTACCAGCGCGCTTAGGAGGGTGTGCAGCGGGCGCACGTACCTGCGGGGACAATGGAACTAAGCTAGCCGGGCAGGCGGGGAGAGGGCCGCCTGGCCCCCGTGCCTCCCAGACCACCGTCCACCAGAGTCCGTGCCCCAAGAGCTTTGGTTCCCACCCCACCCCCACCCCCCGGCCCCGCTCCGGACCCTCCAGCCCGGCAAATACTCCCGTCAGCCCTGTCTCCAACAGGTCCACCCTTCAGGGATTCCAACTCCCAGGAGCCCTGGGCTCCCCTGTGGACCCTCATTTATTTCTTGTCAATCCTACAGTCCCATCTTCCTTAGATCTCCTGCTTCAGGCCCTCCCATTCCGCTAGGCCCCAGGGCTCACAGCCTTTCCCTTCTCTTTCCTTCCGACCTTACCCCTGCAGAACCCACTCCAGCCGGCCCCCCCATCCCAACGTGCCCCAAAACCCACTCTTTGCAAAGGCCCAGCCCTTGCAAATTCCTCTTCCAGTCCTTCTGTTTCCATACATTTCCCTCTCCCCAGGCCCAGAGTCCCTTCCAGACTTCCCTTCAAATTCCCCCTCCAGATTCCCATTTCCTATAGATTCCTCCCTCCATCATTACTAGAACCCCTTCCAGGCTTTCAGTGCCACTTAACTTCCAGTCCTGCCCAAGTCCCTCTTCCAGGTTCTCCATCCCTCCCTGGTCTCAGGCCTTCCATCCCCAGGTCCTCCCTCTAGACTCAAGTTCCCCAACAGGTACCTGCTCCTGGAGCATTCCAATTATAGCCAGGCCCCTCTCGAAGCCCAGATCCTCCACAAGTCCACCCTTCAACTTGACCACGTCCTGTCCCTGTCGTAAGTCCTCCAAGGCCATATTAATCTGGCCCCATCACCCCTCAGGCACAGTCGTGTCCCACTTTCGGGCCCTCCTAATCTTCAGGTCCACACTTCCCCCTACCCCCGCAGGACCCACTCCAGCCGGCCCACCCCCCCATCCCAACCTGCCCCTAAACCCACCCTTTGCAAAGGCCAATCCTTTCAGATTCCTCTTCCAGGCCTTCTATCTCCCAGTTTCCCCTTCAGTTTCACACTCTACTGAATTCGCCCTTCAAGGTCTTGCAGCCCCCTCAAAATCCTGCGGGTCCACCCTCCATGCCCAGCGGGCGCCCCCGGCCAACCTGCGCCTCCCTCCCTCCCTCCCTCCCTCACCCGGCCAGAGCGAGACCGAGGCCGAAGCAGATAAGGTAGTTGGTTTGATAGTAGAGAAGGTTGTTGATGACGCGGTGGCACCATCGCTGCGGGTCGCGTGGATCCGGGGCCGCCAGACGCGCCGACCCCAGAACGAAGTCGTCCAGGGCGCGTAGCGGTGGCAGCCGCACCTCCGACATCCTGCCGGTCGATGTAGCTGGACCAGTCAGAGGAGCGGCCGGACTACAACACCCGTTCTACACCGCGCCACCGTGGGGCACACCGGGAAACGGAGTCTGGGCCCTGCAACCACTACCCTGACGACCTAGTGGACTGAGCAGGCGCAGCAGCACACGTGACCGAAAATACCAACAACACGCCGGAACTGTAAGGTAGCAGGGGCCGCTGGGAAATTGAGTCTCCGCCGCGGGGCGAGGCATTCCCGTCCACCCCCAGGCGGGGGCGCCACAGGGACGGTTCTGGGCGGTGCTGGCGTCTCTGGCACACAGTGGCCAGACATTAGAGGACATGCAGAGACTGTCAGAAGGACCCGAGCAGGATCCCACTTCCTTCCTGTCAGGGTCCAAGAGGTTCACACCTTTCCAGGAAACTCCTGCAGGGCTTTTTCAGCCTCATCTCCTCCAGGCCCCACTCCCGAGGTCCAGCCATAAATACTATTAAGGGCCTTTTATTCATATTCATCATATCAGAGATCGTCTCTTTCTAGGAAGTCTTTTAAAAATCCCCACAGGTTGGATTAGGGCACCCACTCTGGGTCCCTAGCAGTCTTCTCCAGGCTGGGAGCCCCAGGGGGGCCGCTGTCTCTCTGAGTCCCTGGCCTGGCTCTGCGGGCACACAGTCATCAAGAAGTGCTTGGGGCGACTGAGCTGTTTAGGCATTGCTCTTAAGAGTGAAAAGTGGGCACCTGCTCCATTAATGTTTGCTGGCTGGTGGCTTCCACAGCACTCCCACCCCCGCACAGGCTTTGCAGTCTGCCACTGCAGGTCCCTAGCACAACCCACAGGGTCCTTAAAAGTCATCGTCATCACAGATGTCAAGGTACACATCGAAAGCCTCTCTGTTGCAGTTTCCATCGGGAGTGAAGACATATTTGTGGAAGGTCCCATCTACACAGATGGCTGGAGGAGGGGGGAGGATTGGAAAAGGTTAGATGCTGCCAAAGCCACACACTCCAGTCCTCTCAGGTGTCCCGTGGCTCAGGGTCTATCTCCAGGTCTTTGCCACGTGCCATCTCCCTTAGCGATGGTGGAAGTGAACCAACCATTTGGCTCCCTCAGGCCTCCCATGCCCTAAAATTCTTTCAGGTCCAATTTGTAGGCCTTCGCCCATGCAGTACCCCCCAGTCAAGGGCTATTCCCACTCACCAATGACAGAGTTGACATTCTTGGAAGTGTTGCGACCAAAAGCACAGATGCAGGCTGACTCAGCAGGCACGGTGAAGCTCGCCAGGCTCCACTGAGAGTCCACATACTGCCCAATCATAGGCCCCACCTTGCCCACGCGAGCCAGCCTGCAGGCAACACTGGCTAAGCCCAGGTGTGATATATGGGCAGGGGGATGGGGGTGAGGCAGGGTGGGGCAGGAGGCACTCACGCAGAGCGGCGGTTGAGGCGGGTATCCTTGAGAGCAAAGATGTGGACTGTGCCCTTATCACTGGATGCACACAGGAAGGAAGAATCATGGCTGAAGTTGATGCTGAAAGACAGACCAGCGATGACGCCCATGTCATGTGGTGTGAGGTCAGGAGCCCACCAGGCATACCCTGTGCTCACCAGTAGAGGGTGGCGGGGTCAGTGCCTCGGCGCAGCTCCACCAGCTTCTCCTTGGACTGCGTGTCAAAAAGGCGAATAAGGGTGCCCTTCTGAGAGGCCGAGGCCACTACCGTGCCTGGCTGGTTCAGAGACACGCAGGCCACGTCGCTCTGATGTGCATTGATGGTAAACGGAGCAGATGAGGTGCCGGGCTTTGTGCTTGCCAGGTCCTATGGTAGAAGGAGCAGTTTGGGCTTGGGGTAGGTGGTAAGGAGGTAAGTTGCCAAGAGTCCACAGGGAGAGCCAGCCCACCTACCCACCCCTGCCCACTGGACAGCTCACCACAAGTTGCAGGCTCCCGCACTTGTGTCCTGGGAACACTAGCAGTTGTTTCTCCAGGCTGGGGCAGAGGTCACAGAGCCCTAGGGTGGGGTGGGGGGCTGGTAAAGAGGACGTTGGGGCCAGGCAGGGTCTCAGGATGGACAGAGCTGGATAAGGGCCGGACTTCAACCTTCCACGATACATGCTACCCACAGAACCCACAGGGGGCTTGTCCTCAGGTGTGCTCCCCACCATCAAGGCAGATTCCCTGCCTCCCTATGCAGCTGTGGCAGCCCCAGGAGGCCCAGGAATCCCTGGCATACCCATTAATGTCCTTAATGAGCCTTTCTGCTCTGCTATCTGAGGCAGCCAGGGGTGAGGCGGGGCTGAGAGTAGAGAGAAAGAACTGGCTAAGGACGGGAAAATGGATAGAATGGGAGTACGGGCATCTCAGCCCATTGGAGCATCTCTATGCAAAGACTCTCTCCCTGCCTCTCTTTCCCAGTTACTCGTTGTGTGCCCCTTTCTATCTCTCTTCTGCCCCTCTGCCCCATCCACTGCCTCCTGCCACTACACCTGCATCTCTGGGTCCTCTCACCCTTGGGGTTGTCCCGGGTGTCAAACTCAAACAGCTTTCGGGGATTGTCGGGGAAGGAGTACACATAGATGCGGTTCTTCAGCACGATCACGATTCTGTGGGCATCACACAACACAGGATGGTCGTGAGGGGAGGGCAGGGTGCCCATGCAGGACTAACCCTCTAGCCTGCTGTGGGGACCTCCGACCTCCCCCACCCCCAGCCCACCTCAGGCTCACTTGTCATGGCGCATGCGCACAGCCAGCACTGGCTTGGTGAAGGTGAACTCCAGCACCAGCTTGTCCTTGGAGTCCTTGCCCTCCCGGGCATCGTCCCAGATCAGCACTGCTGGGCAGGTGGGTTGTCGGGGCCAAGGTTTAGGGTGAGGGGCAGCCCTGGTGACACAAGACCTACCCCTACTCCCCATGGGACCTCAACCCACTTGCTTAACCTTTTGCTAACACGCAATATGACCTCACACAGCATGAGCACTTGTAGATGTGATTCCTGAGAAGACAGGTTCTAGAACCGTTATACTCATTTACAGATGAGGAAGCTGAGGCTCGAAGGGGTTTTCTATCTAGCCAAGGACCTCACAACCCATCAGCAACCAAGCAGGGACTCACATCCAGGCCTGTAACTTCTCATCAGTAACTATTTCTGCCTCCAGGGTCCCAGCTCATACCCCCCAGAAGATTTCTGTGAGGAATCCTAGGGCATCTTTTGCCATGTCCCAGTGGGATCAACAAAAGCCCTTAAAATAAGATGGTGCTTGAGACTCAAAGCAAGAGGGCACCAGGGAGACAGCCCCGAGATTTTAAAACCTATTAGTTGTGTCACCTTGGATAAATCACTTAACCTCTTTGGGCCTCAGTTTCTTCATCTGCAAAAATGGGGATGATGATACTTCCTACCACACAGAGTCATGTGAGGATTAAATGAGTTAATACATGTAAAGTGGTAACAACAGCACCAGGCTCACAGCAAGCGCTCCATAGGTAAGGACATGGCATACAGGAGGCATTCAACAAGTGTCTGTTAAATGAAGACAAAACACCAAGCTTCTCAAGTGATAAGATCCAGGACTTGTAAGATGTAGACCTCACTGTGTGACTCTGAGTTACTCTGACATCTTCACTTGCCAGAGCCTCCGGGAGGCCAGGATTCCGGGGAATCTGGGCCAAGGGTGGGACCGGATGAGGACACTTACCTGAGATCTCTGAGAACTTGGGGCTGCTACCACCGCCCACCAGGGCCAGCAGGTTGGAGCGGTGCAGCATTTCCACCAGGCCCATGCTGCCCACCTGCTCATGGTCTGGACAAGGACCAGGGTGTCAGTAGGGGTGGGTGCCAATGCCCAGCCCAGCCCTTCTGCCCATTGCCCCTCCCCCACCGACAGCTCACCCAGATGCCCCTTCTCCATCAATGGCTCCACGTTGTAGATGCGCACACCTGTCTCCATAGCGCAGCAAAAGCAGCCTGGGGACGGGAGGAATCGGGCTGCCTCAAAGGATGTCCAGGTGGGAAGCTAGGGGTTTAACACCCACCTCTGGCCATTCTCTCCCTCCCTCCCTCCCAAAAGGGCACAGGCACAGCCTCTCTCACTTTGATCTTGGTTGAAACGCAGACTGGTCACTCCTCGAAGTGGCTGCTGAGTCATGGTCCAGGATTGCTTCCCTGGACACAAATGGGGGTAGGGTTGGGAAGAGTCCTGGGGTCTGTTCTCTGAGTCCTAGAACTCCTGTCCCCAACTGATTTCTTCTTCCTCCTCCCACTCTGCTACCTAACCCCAGCAGGACTGCAAAGAAGACAAAAGCAGGGGGAGAATCCTAGGGTTTCCACTCTAAGCTCCCAAGACCCCAAAGAGCATGGACAGGAACATTCGCATCTTCTTACACTTAGTTGACTCCAGCTCTCTCGGCCTACCCTGACCTGGACATCCCCACCTCCTCCTTACTCCCTCCCTGACTGACTGCTTATCAAGAGATAATGGGGTAGGGGGTATCCCAGTGATATCTCCTCTCTACCCTCAGCCAATCCTGGCCCCAGTGCCCAACATGGCCTGGAACCACCCCCTACCCACTTCTCATCTTTACACCTGGACCCAGCACCTAAGTCTGCCTGTCAATAAATGGGGAAAGGGGGCTCAAACATCCACCTCTTCCTGCACCTCCCTGACCTGGCCCTGAGACCTGCTACAGTTGGTCCACCGCTCACAGGAACTCCCCCGCCACGTCCTTCTACTCCAACCTATTCTACCACTCCAGAGCTCTCTCACACCTTCCTTCCCCACAGGCTTCCTGAAATCCCTTCAGGATCCCATTCCCACCTCCACACAACCCCTTCTCATGACATGCTAACTTCTGTCCAACCATGGACAACCTGGACCTTCCCCCAGACCCCTGTATGCCCTAAAGACCCTACTTCAGGATTCCCTTATCACTCCAAATCCCCCACCCCTGGGACATACACTTCCATATGTTCTGCTGTCCCTGACTCTGACATGGGTTGGCTTGGACGTACCCCCAAGAATTGCATCCCCCTAAGGTTCCTCCTCCAGACCCCCTATCGTCTCCCCAAGACCCTGCTCCAGGGCACCCCAACCCCTCAAAACCCTTGCCCAGGACACACACTTCCCAAAACCCCTACCTGGGACAACTCAATCCCCCCCACAAGACACCTGCCCTAGACCCCCCCTAATATTCTTGTCCCAGAGTCCCCATACTCCCTTCAAACCCCCATCTCCCCAAAACCTTTGCCCAGGCACACCCCTTCCCACTCTCCAAACGTCCTCCCTTCCCCCCTGTACCACCTCCACCGGACCGCCTCGCCCCCAAAGACCCATTCTTTAGACAGCCCCACCTTGCAAGATCCCTTTTTTGGGACCCCCATTCCAAAGACACTTGCCACCCAGGAACCCTGCCCAGGGATGCCTCACACATCGCTACCACCACTGATGTCCAAGACCACCCTCATACTCCATCCAGTGCCAGCACCTACTCAAGATCCCTGTCCTAGATACATCCCCATCCACCAAGACCCTTGCTCAAAAGACCCCTCCGTCCCCCAGATCGCAACCAATTCTTGCACCATGCCCCAGCTCCCTGCCGCCTGCACTGACCTGACCTCTGCGCGTCCCCTGCTCTCGGTGCCGCCCACGGCCCGGCGTTCTGACCTCCCGGGCCTTAAAGCCCCACTCCCTTGTTTACATCAGGCCTTACTTCCGGGGGAGGGAGTCTGTGACCGGAAATGACTCACCCTCGCTGGAAAGCGCGGCTGCAGTCTTCCTAAACCAGCTTCTGGGTCTTTGGAGCAAAGAGAGGGAGCGCGGCGTTCCCCCAGGAGAGAGCGGGGAGCAGAGGACGCTCCGCCACGGCATGACTGTCTGAAGGAACCGAAGACGGGTGGGAGAGAGAGAGCCTTCCCCTCGCTGAGCGGAAAAGGGCGAGAATTCCGTAACTGGGTCCTGCTCGGAGAGCTAGCGGCGTTACCTTCTGGGCTAACAAGACTCGGACCTCTGAGGTCCAAGAGGGGCCGCCCCTGTTAGCTATTTGTAGTTCTCCCAGACTTCTAGGGAGGCGACCGGGGAGCCTCGAGGCGGGGGTGAGCCTGGAGACCTTCAAAGCTGAGTCTATCCCCATAGCCAGGGGAAGCCAGGATGGGATTCCCCACCCCACCCATGCTTCGTTTTATTTACAAAGTGAAAAAGTATTTTTGATGGCAAGAGGTTATAAGTGTTCAGTGTGGGAGGAAAAAAGACCCCAATTATGTACATACTGGAAATATTTTTGTATTCAACTTATAAATTTTGAGATGTGGACTCAACGTGTAGTTTTGAGAAATAATAGAGAAATCCCATGTGCTTTAACACTTACCCCTGAAGGTAACATGTTGTATAGTAAAATACTACACTCAGAATGTTCACACAGTTGTGATACTAAGTATCACACAGTTGTGACACTGAGTATCACACAGTTGTGATATTGACACAATCCACCCATCCTTTACTTTTTTTCAAATATTGTTTTGATGCTTTAAAAAATTATTAATATATAATGGGCATCTGTTTTATTCATCCTTTTTAATTGATTCATGATATTCCGTGGAATAAATGTATAACTGTTCAGCTGTTCCCCTACTGATGGCCATCTAGGTTGTTTGATGTACTGTGTTGTCAACATCCACAGACATATTTACTTGTGAATTTTGGCCCCATGTACTACCCTAGGCGTGACTCCATTGCTGTGCTCCTCAGCAAAGCCAATCTTCTGGCTTTCTTCGGTCTCTACTTCCTCACATCCCAGAGCACATTTAGCTTTTTTTTTTTCTTGGCCACGGCATGGGATCTTAGTTACCCGACCCGGGATTGAACCTGGACCCTTGGCAGTGAGAGGGCCAAGTCCTAACCACTGGACCACCAGGGAATTCCCAGAGCATATTTAACTTAATTCAGTTTGGCTTTTGTCACTTCCATGTCTCTGAGACTGTTCTTAACCAGATCACTGATGAGTAACAATCTTCCCAAACCAGCAGTCACTTCTCTACACCTTCCTGTAACCACCCAGCATATTCCACAGTTTCTTGCTCTCACTCTCTTTGTTTTCTCCTATATCTCTGGCTACTCCTCCATCTTTATCCAATTTCCAAATACTGTGGTATCCTTGGGTATGATCCTGGCCGCCTTACTTTTGTAGTCAGTATTCTCTCCCTAGGTGACTTCATGTTGTCTCATAGCCTTAATTATTGCAAATATTTGGAAGATCCACTAATTTAGGCCTCTAGCCTAGACCTCTTTCCTGAACACCAGACATATATGCTATGGCCTGTTTGACGTGTTCACGTGGATGTCTCATAAGGCATCTCACATTTAACGCATCCAAACAGATCTCTTGAATTTCCCTGGCTCAACCAACCTCCTGTCTCCCTCATCTCAGCCAATAACACCATAACACCCAGTCTGTCACTTGAGCCAAACAGCAGATATATCATGGTTGATTCTCCTTATTTGTCATTGGCAAATTCTGTTGGTCCCACTGTCCAAGTGGTATCACAAATACAACCCCTGGCTCATGCACTTTTAGTCAAGATGGAGTAACAGGGACCAAATTTGTCCTCTCACATGAAACAACCAACCACTGCCCCCCCCAAAAGGAAGAATACATGAAACAACGGTTTTTAATACATACACATCAGACAGTGAAGGACAGTGATCCCTGAGAAATGGGAAAGAAGATGAGCCCCAAACTGCCCCAAGTTACCACTTGGAGAGTTTTTTTGTTTTGTTTTTTTCATTTTAACATCTTTATTGGAGTATAATTGCTTTACAATGGTATGTTAGTTTCAGCTTCACAACAAAATGAATCAGTTATATATATACATATGTTCCCATATCTCTTCCCGCTTGCGTCTCCCTCCCTCCCACCCTCCCTATCGCACCCCTCCAGGCGGTCACAAATCACCGAGCTGATCTCCCTGTGCTATGCGGCTGCTTCCCACTAGCTATCTACCTTACGTTTGGTAGTGTATATATGACCATGCCTCTCTCTCACTTTGTCACAGTTTACCCTTCCCCCTCCCCATATCCTCAAGCCCATTCTCTAGTAAGTCTGTGTCTTTATTCCTGTTTCACCCCTAGGTTTTTCATGACATTTTTTTCCTTAAATTCCATATATATGTGTTAGCATACGGTATTTGTCTCTCTCTTTCTGACTTACTTCACTCTGTATGACAGACTCTAGGTCTATCCACCTCATTACAAATAGCTCAATTTCGTTTCTTTTTATGGCTGAGTAATATTCCATTGTATATATGTGCCACATCTTCTTTATCCATTCATCCGATGATGGACACTTAGGTTGTTTCCATCTCCGGGCTATTGTAAATAGAGCTGCAATAAACATTTTGGTACATGACTCTTTTTGAATTATGGTTTTCTCACGGTATATGCCCAGTAGTGGGATTGCTGGGCATATGGTAGTTCTATTTGTAGTTTTTTAAGGAACCTCCATACTGTTCTCCACAGTGGCTGTATCAATTTACATTCCCACCAACAGTGAAAGAGGGTTCCCTTTTCTCCACACCCTCTCCAGCATTTATTGTTTCTAGATTTTTTGATGATGGCCATTCTGACCGGTGTGAGATGATATCTCATTGTAGTTTTGATTTGCATTTCTCTAATGATTAGTGATGTTGAGCATTCTTTCATGTGTTTGTTGGCAGTCTGTATATCTTCTTTGGAGAAATGTCTATTTAGGTCTTCTGCCCATTTTTGGATTGGGTTGTTTGTTTTTTTGTTATTGAGCTGCATGAGCTGCTTATAAATTTTGGAGATTAATCCTTTGTCAGTTGCTTCATTTGCAAATATTTTCTCCCATTCTGAGGGTTGTCTTTTGCTCTTGTTTATGGTTTCCTTTGCTGCGCAAAAGCTTTGAAGTTTCATTAGGTCCCATTTGTTTATTTTTGTTTTTATTTCCATTTCTCTAGGAGGTGGGTCAAAAAAGAACCTTGCTGTGATTTATGTCATAGAGTGTCCTGCCTATGTTTTCCTCTAAGAGTTTGATAGTTTCTGGCCTTACATTTAGGTCTTTAATCCATTTTGATCTTATTTTTGTGTATGATGTTAGGGAGTGATCTAATCTCAGACTTCTACATGCACCTGTCCAGTTTTCCCATCACCACTTATTGAAGAGGCTTTCCTTTCTCCACTGTACATTCCTGCCTCCTTTATCAAAGATAAGGTGACCATATGTGCGTGGGTTTATCTCTGGGCTTTTTATCCTGTTCCATTGATCTATATTTCTGTTTTTGTGCCAGTACCATACTGTCTTGATTACTGTAGCTTTGTAGTATAGTCTGAAGTCAGGAAGCCTGATTCCTCCAGCTCCGTTTTTCGTTCTCAAGACTGCTTTGGCTATTCGGGGTCTTTTGTGTTTCCGTACAAATTGTGAAACTTTTTGTTCTAGTTCTGTGAAAAATGCCAGTGGTAGTTTGATAGGGATTGCATTGAATCTGTAGATTGCTTTGGGTAGTAGAGTCATTTTCACAATGTTGATTCTCCCAATCCAAGAACATGGTATATCTCTCCATCTATTTGTATCATCTTTAATTTCTTTCATCAGTGTCTTATAATTTTCTGCATACAGGTCTTTTGTCTCCTTAGGTAGGTTTATTCCTAGATATTTTATTCTTTTTGTTGCAATGGTAAATGGGAGTGTTTTCTTGATTTCACTTTCAGATTTTTCATCCTTAGTGTATAGGAATGCCAGAGGTTTCTGTGCATTAATTTTGTATCCTGCTACTTTACCAAATTCATTGATTAGCTCTAGTAGTTTTCTGGTAGCATCTTTAGGATTCTCTATGTATAGTATCATGTCATCTGCAAACAGTGACAGCTTTACTTCTTCTTTTCCGATTTGGATTCCTTTTATTTCCTTTTCTTCTCTGATTGCTGTGGCTAAAACTTCCAAAACTATGTTGAATAAGAGTGGTGAGAGTGGGCAACCTTTTCTTTTTCCTGACCTTGAAAAAGGTCAGGAAACCTTTTCCTGAAAGGGAAATGCTTTCAGTTTTTC